TATAATACATCATAAAATATTCTTAGTGAAATAAAAGTTTAATAAAATTTCCAAATTATGAAGCCTTCCCTCACAGAAGAACAAAGATTATTTTATCACTGCACTCGTATATTTCTCCAATTATTTTTTCTTGGTTCATTCTTTCCCTTTTCTTCTTCCTATTTCATTTCGCAGTTACAGTGAACAGACATCTAAGAAAGCGATGGTTAATATCCAATTCGATTATAAGAGCTTATTTCTGAAAGAAGAGAGCGAAATTTTACAGACAATGGCCAACTATAAATAGAAACGTAATGTGTAATTACGTTCACTGCTACGGAAATATGTCTTCGATGACGTACTGCTGATTTAGTAACGCTGTTAGAAACTAGTTATGTGAAGCATGTGAGGAAATAACTTTTCGGTCTCTTTCTAAGCGGAATATATTTTTACGGAATAGATTGTTGCTGTAGAAAATAGAAAATAAAAGAAGAAAAGTTGTGGAGATATTTATTTCCAGCAGAAATGAAAGAATAATTCACTTTGGCGTAATGCTCTGAAACACCTCATGCAAGACATTAGGAGTTGAGTTATTTGAATGACGTAAAACTGCTAATTTTTATCTTATTCACTCAACTAATATCTGAAAGAATATTACTGCAGCATAATGTCAAAACAGAATAAAGTTAAAATGTAGAATTATAATATGTGTCAATAGCTGGTGGATTGCAAATGAAAGAGTTTAGTTCCTTTTATAAAAGGCATTGGGTATGCATTGAATATGTTTACTTGAATTATTTAACAGAATAATTAGAAAAAAATATTTGATGACTGTATAGTTTATTAATTATACTGCGCTATTATGCATTTCTATAATTTCTGGCTTTTTTGTTTGTCACTATAGAAATAAACAAGTTTACGTGCTGAGCTAGCTCATTCATTAGTTTTAACATATATTAGTGCAGTATGCTAATTAATTTAGATTTTGCAAGTCCTGAGAGAATAACGTCTTAGTTTTCAAATTAGCTTGGAATTGATTTTTCATTTTCTTTTAAATTTCTAAGAGATACTTTCAGATTTTAAGAGATTATTTACAAGCATTGACATCCACTTGAAAATGAAAGGGTAATTCACGATGTTTACTACAGAATAGAATCAAAATTAATTATTGCTAAAATAATATAAACATATATTTCATGTTAGAGCCTAGCCATTTTTCAGACTACCGAATTGTGACAGCATTGTTTTTATACTGGTAAATATCTTCATATTCTAAGATTTATTTGAGTTTAATCATAAAACTTCTTCAATTAATAATAATTTCTGAACTTTAGATATAAACTTATTAAAATATAATTTTAAATTAACTGTTATCAGCATTAAACTTTCTCACAGCTACATGTGTATAATATATGTATGTATATATATATGTATGTATATATTGTATGTATATGTATATATATATATATATATTGTATATATATGTATGTATATATATATATATATATATATATATATATACGTTAAATACAATGTTCGGCTTTTTTGCATTAGAAGATATCAAGGCACCACTGTATGCTTTCATTGAAATCTTTGACACAGTTCCAGTATCGAAGCCTGAGTCGTCTCCAAACGTTTTGTTAAACTTGCCAAGAGATTTGTTCGTATGAAGTTGCCAGTTGCTTTTAAAGTCGTTATATGTCTACTTTTTTTAAAAAAAGTAAAAGAATGCCTTTCAAAATTGGCAAAGAGAACACAAATTCTATATATGTAACGGTAACTTGTGGGTTTTTTTTCTTTTTTTTTTTCATGTACCATGGATATGAAAGTTTGCGACTTAATTAATAATAAAACTTCTTCAGGAATACTGCCTACAACTGAATTACAATTCTTCACTCTGAAAGAGAGTGCACGAAAAGCCATAAAATTAAGTGAAAAACCATAAAGATCTACTTAAATTTGAAGAAGCTCTGAAGTGGAGATGTGAAAAATGCTGAGGGAAAAAAATAATTACATTCTCAAAATTGTTTCTCTCTTTGGAATCAGCTTCTCAACAGCAACTCGTTTCATTTATGCATGATGTTTAGAAATTAACTTCCCTCGAACTTTTTCATTATCAATTTAATATGAATCATCGCACTGTTGTTGACTGGAACACACCTCCCCGAGTTGGTCACTTGCTCTGTCCATATGAAAGTGGATACTATCTGGGAGATTAGTCGGTTCCTCAGGACTAGAACCATCGTTTCTAGGATGCTACACTCAAGTGCAACAGGGATTCGTAACGGTACAGCCAATTTTGACTGGGGCTGTCTGATCGCTAGATGCTCTTTTTAGATTTGTTCTGGAGAGCTGGACGTTTAACCATGTATGGGCTTCTTGACAATCTAGGTCTGGCTATCCTTTCTCTCTGGCTCACTGTTGGCTGGAACAGTTATATAAAGGAATTTGTGGCCATGGACTGATGTTTAGACCGTCAGTTAAAATAAGCGGCAATGGTAATGTGTCAAGTTGGCGAAAGTTTGTTTTTTGCTTCGAAAAAACAACGTAGTCATATCTTTCCTCCAGAGTGGGTGTTCATGTTCGCCTTCATATTATTTGAATATCTTTTGCTTGTACTACCAACTGCTTGGTATTTGTCGCCTTAATTCTTTTTGTTACTATATCTGTCAATTAAGTTAAAGCTTATTTCCAGCACTGCTTCTTTTAATAGAACGAAATATCTTTTACTTTATTATGTACTAGTTATACCTGTCTTTATGTTCTAAGATTTAGTCACTTTATCTTTTCTTATTGCTAAGGTCTTCTACCTAACATGTTATTATCACAAATCTTTAAAATGCCACCTTGGAAGAAACCAATATGGAAGTTGAATTTTTCCAGTTTTTCTTAGCAAATATCATAATTTTACTAGCGTGCAGGTGAGCAATGGATTGAATGCACACAAAACCGATGGCAGTTTGATGGAATTTATTTTTCAAAAGAAACACTTTTCAGTTCTGAAACTTTCCACAAAAATATTTGTATAGCTCTTCTTAGTATAACAAAGCAAGGTCAGTAGTTATGTTTCAAATTGCTGAGAACATTAATCACAACTGAGTGCAAAGAGCATCTAAAAGCCGAAGCTCTAATGTAGATTTCAATACTACGAAATCAGCTCTAAACTAAAACCTGAGACCTGAGGCTCTCTCCGGTCTTATATCCCAGAAATCTTTAGTGAACCAGAACCCAGTAAATCTTTAGTAACCCAGATTCCGCGGCAACCCAGAAATCTTTAGTAACTTCCATTTCTCGAAATTACTCCAAGACATATACGATTAAATTTACATATTAGGGTCCGGATACGGTTACAGTTACGTATAGGGTTCAATTACAGTACCAATTATACACGAACCGGACCCAAATGTAATCAAATGATCGCCAAGTTTGGCGACTTTTGGCGACTTCTAGCCAACTTTAGAACTAAAATAAGTCGCTAGCACTCGTTAAATTTGCCAGATAGCCATTTACCTCAATGTTAAATAGACTTGTCCCTGTAACCTTACTTTGCCGGCAGAGGTTTGCTTTTTCAAGCATTTCCTTTTACATTGTACAAAAGATGTCACAATCTCACATATAATTTCACGAAAATTATTTATATATATACAAAATTCGTTTTAATAGAGAAGTCTATAAAGGCGAAAATTATCTGTCGGTTTATTTCCGACAACTGTTTCTCTGGGCGAATTAATAATTACTTGTCCCTCTATTCTTAGTATTTATTCAAATTCTTTTAGTTTTATACCAACCTCGGATTTAGCATCAGATATCTAATTTTCCTTAGAAGACATTGTGTTGAGTTAGCAAGAAATAAAGTTTTTTAATGTTGGCTTTAATAGGTTCAGTTTATTTTTTTTCTTTTCCATGAATATTGGCTATATCTGTAACAAATAACAATTCTAAGATCAATAGCACTGTACGTAGCTTCGAAAAATGTTTATAGTTTAATAATGTATACTTAAATCTACTGTACCCTAAGATGTTAATCAAATTTATCAGTGCTTCATAATGTTCCTTTTGCACAAGTTTATGAATACGAATAATGGCTAATTTTTGTTAGTCTCCTTTCCTTAGTGTGACTTTTATTTCAGTTTTGAGGTTCAAAGAAATCACAGCAATAATGCTCACGAAAGAAAATCAGAGTTTTGAAACTTTTCGTCCGTTAAATTTGCTTCAAAACCTTTATCCAAAGTAAATCGTTTTATTGGTAAAGAAATTTAAAACAAACTTCTACGGACAATATTGATTTTATTTTAAGAGTTTCTTAGAGATCGTCACATTGAAAAAATTCAGTTAGGGATGTTTTCTATAAAAAATCTTAAGCAGATGATAGGAATGTAATATAGTTTCTAAGGAAAACAATTTTAAAAAGTTTTTTTGCTGTTTTTTGTAATAAATAACTCCTACTAAGTAAAGATAGTTTCTTTCAGAGCATATGACACCGAGAAAGGTGTGAAATCAGTAACTTCGAATTTTTTTCAATGACACTCCGTTACCAGAAATATTATTGGTTATAGATTTACATGGAAAGCAAATCGAAGTAAAATTTAATGTTTGTTTATCTGTAGATGTAAACCAATTTTCAACAGTCGGCTAATTTTGCATCAGAATTGTCAAATACGCTGTTTTATGGATGAAAAATCAAGTTTTGTTCTATGTGATACTAAAAATAAACTTGTTTTACTAGAATGTTAACCGTGGGATATTAAATATCATTGATGGCCTGGTTTATAATCTCAAAACCTACATCAGATCTTCTATAATGTCTGTTCACTGCAATTGTCTAACGAGTACTGCGCCATCTAGCCGATGGCCAAGTGCATGAGCACTGTAGTTGTATGAATGACGAAATATGAATGAATTGAGAGAAAGGTTTTATGAAGAAATTTTTTATGCAGAGTATTTCTTTTAGTTGTACATGTTCTTCAGCAGGATGCACGGGTCTTAATGCATGTATCTTGTTTCTTGTCTCATGCATGCAGGGTTTCGGTTTTGTAACGTTCGCAAATAGCCTCGATGCTGATAGAGCACGTGACCACTTGAACGGCACGGTGGTAGAGGGAAGAAAGATCGAGGTGCATGTTTAAACTTTTTTACTTCAGTACATTTCTTATATGATAATGGCACTTCACATATTTTTCATTACATATGAGCGTGCTTTACTCGTAGCTAATTAGAGCTGTTGGCAAAGAAATGTCTCTCCTTGCATAATGATTTGAAAACCGCACCATTTCGAGTCAGCTGTATTTTTTTAGCTTTTGTGAATACGCCGTGACATTAATCGTACAGCAAATATTCGTAGAAAAGAAATGGTTATCAGTTGAAATGTTAAATTAAACAATGCTATTGTAACTAATGTCTGTTTCATTATTTTTTTTACTTAGTAGTACTGAGTGCAAACACAGATGTGTATGATTATTAATTATAATTGTGCGTGAAATTTTGCCGGCGTTTATTTATAATTCTAGTATTTGGAATTTTAGATTCATAATTATGCATGTATTGGACGAAACTGGAATTTAAGTTCATGAAAGTGGTTATGGAGTACCAGAAAACATGAGCACATATATATAGAACGAAAGAAGTTTTCGATTTTTCTCGTTATTATGAACTGAATGTGAAACAATATACATCAGAATTAAAACTATTTTATTCATACTTATTTAAACAGTTGCAATGTTATAATTTTGACTTTTCCTTTCTTTAGCAGAACTGAACGCAGAAGCTTCACTATTTAATAGAATTTAGAACTTTTGTTCAAAACTTCTTATAGGGAAAAAAATGTAATTTCCTGCAGAGTTAACAACACTGAAAGCATTAATTTGTGGTAGTTTCTACTACCCTTTATTAAACTGTTAAAACAGAAAAAGAAATAATGTTGTTCTCTAATATATTTTTGGAGATCATGTGGACAATATTAAGTTAATGCTGATAAAATATTAAAGCATTCTATATCGTTTCATTCTTAAGAAAAACCTTATGTTTACGAACGAAAAGTATGAAAAACCTTATGTTTCAAAATAGCTTACAAATGATAATAGAGTTGACAGTACTCTGTTTAGACTTCACAACACAAAGCTTTGTAGAATCTTTAAAATTAAATAACCACCAGTTTAAAATTATTAGTTGCGTCAGTTACAGAATGATGTAGAACTTACGTACGATTTTTAGTGAATGTTTCTTTAATATTTCAATAAGAGAAGGTTTTTTATACAAATATCAGCGTTTACATATTAAACGCAACCTGCTTAGAAGAAGTCGCCGAAATTTCAGAATGTGCAAAACTCTGGTAACCATTCACATAACCATTCTTCCGGCAACCGTGCTCATAACAGTCCTTCAGCCGAGCAACGCCGCACTTTTCATATGCATTCTTTGGCCCACCAGCGGCTGAGCGGTAAAGTCGCTGAACCCTGGTAGTTCTGGCCGAGGTTCAAATCCCGCGAACGGGCTGGCTGCATGGGAATTTTCGTAGTTTTCTCCATGTGTAACGTGTATACGAGCCAGTTTCCCTTAGAAAGTCCTCCACGAAAGCATCCCTCCCCTTATGCAGATAGCCCTAGTGTGTTTTGCCATAATTAAACACACACACACACACATATGCGTTCTTTTTTTTTTTCATGTTTCCCAAGTTCCCACAATTGTTTTAAACAAATGTTGATATTTTTGCCTTAAACTTGGTTTTGAAAAATGAGCTTGTGGATTTGCCAGCAATAGAAGAAACTGCGGTAAAATTTCTGCAGGAATACAAAGTTGTGTTGAAAGTTTTATAAAAGAAACAACAAGAAAATACGTTTCTTAGATAGTTGCTGTTACCAAGGGTTGCCTGAAGTCGAATATCCGCAATTTAAGCGAAAACAGATTGATAGATTGCCCTGTATTTCTGGAGAAAAATAGCGCAAAAGCGATTACAGAAAGCTTTAAAGCAGAAATTATGAGTTTTATATTTTTTATGTATCACGTAATTGCTAAAGTATATATCTTTCCATATGTTGAATGTTTACCGACTTACGATAAATATTGATAGTCTGAGAATGTTTCTAAGAAAATGCACGAAAACTACTAACTTGCACTCAATAAGGGACTTTTAACTTTTCTTCTGTAAAAAGTCGCCAAATTTCGCCAAGATGATTGCGTTCATATGTAAGTAACCAAACATTCCTTAAAATGAACAAATTTTACTTTAGTGTAATAAATAGTGGTTAGGGGACCCTACTTACGGTACAGAAGGGCCCGAGTTCGAATCCCGGAGAAAGCATGCTTGTAAATGTCCGTCTTTTCATAGGAAGCAACGGTAGCCGCCTTCACAATACAATGGCCACCACTTCTGGTCTTAGAGTATCCAATGCTGAATAGGCAACCGTGGGCCATTGGATAAAAGAAAAAGTTAATTTTTAAAATACTTTAAAAAAGCGAAAAGGCAGTTAAGACTATTTTAGCAAACATAAAATTGGAAACAATAAAATTTTTAAACGTTTAATACATCAAAACTGTTATTTTTTAATCCTTGGTACGCTAAAGCAGCTTCAGTTATTTAATAGATTTAAACTGGCATCGAAGATGTCATATATTTTTGTCGCATTTTTTTACATAGTGTATTTTTATAATTTATAATAATACTTTTATGCATGCAAATATAAATTTATATGTATTTTAATAGATATTATTAATAATACCTTTAAAATTATCAAGAAGTACCTGTAGATTCTATAGTTCTAAAACTCTAATAGACAGAATTCCATAAATATGACAGAATTCTACTGTGAAGCTTCCTAACAGATAATAAAATAAAGCAACCAGTTTCTAAATCTTATTTCTCAAATCAAATTTAATATAAAATTCCTGTGTGCGTATTTGTTTTAATTTACTATTTTTTATTCATTGTATCCAAATTTATTCCAAATAATAACAGCATCTATGTGATAAAACTAACTACGGGAATTCAAACTGAGAGCTATTATAGAGCTATTAGAAGTTGTACTATACTACTAAAAGCTGTACTTATTGAGCAAAATAGTGAAACATATTTTCGAAGAAAGAAACTACTGTGATTTTATTTGTTCATATTCTTAGAAATCAATATGATGATTTGTATGAAAAATATTTCCAAATTTTAAATCAACTGAGGAAACTTTAAGTGAATGATGCTAGCTGTGATTATAAAGGTTTACAAATTATAAGCAAGTGTGAAATCTGATGTGCTGAAACAGCTGCCTCGAAACTGGTGTAAAAACAATCTATAATAAACTTAAAACTTTTATGCAAATATTTGGCTATGTTTCGTACAACAGATTCAAAAAGAATTTTATTTTTTTATGGATAAAAAAGTTTGCAAATGAGCGAAAATTGCTGTCATTAGGGAAGTTAATTCATTGGTTATATAATATCAATTAAAAATCATAAATAAAATAAATGTTATAATTAAATACGCATGGATAACCATCAATCATTGTTGTTTTAAGTTGTTTTAAGTAGCCAAGTATAAGCATAAAAGTCAAACATTGCTTATTTTGCTTTCTGTTAAATTTTAAATTTAAGAACTTTCCACTAATGCATCGAGTGTATTGTGTTTTTGTTGGTAGCTTGTATGTCTATAATATTGGCATTTATAACCACTGTCTTGCTTTTAGTAAAAGGAATGGATTGGTAGCTAGTTTGCTGTATTTGGCAACTTTCACTGCCTGACGTTGCTCTAGACATGAAGAAATAGCACGTTGTTATGCATTAGGATTGACATTTCTTTTGCTAATGACTGTTTATAATTAGAGCATCTGGTAATAAATATCTAAGCAGTGCCTTCTAAGAGATTCATATCATAATGATATGATATTTTGAAATAGCTAACCTTTTGTTTTGAGCAGCAGGCAAGATTTTCAAAAACTTTCGCAAATATACATGCTTAATATTTTGCACCACTATATTGAGAAAACTGCGAAAGAAAATTGCAATGTTTTCCAAAAATCAGCTATGAGAATATGCACATATATATTCAATTTAAAAAAGTCCATTGTGCAATTAGACAGAACTGAAATAAATATCTATCTATATCACAAAAGGAAGAGTGAGATAGATAGCACACCTATAAATAAAACATATATTAAAGTTATTAAATTGGAAAAACTCATATATTAACTGAGTTGTTCCTATATGTATAATTGATTGATTAGATCATTGTAAGATTTTAGGCCTTCAGACGCACATAGTGGTTAAAGATAATAATTGAAAATATTTTTATTTCTTATTAAATGTTTAACAACCATTACATATATGATCTCAATATGCACATCAGTACTATAATGTGTATGAAACCCTACTTAAATATAATATTTCTTAAACATGAAAAATAAAAGCTCACAACATCTAATTTAACAAAGAGATAAACATTTTCAAAGACTCTACATTTTTATGTATGTGTACGCAGGACTATTAAAGTCTAATATACCATCATACGGATTCTTTATATTAAAATTTTAAAAGTAATCACATTAAATAGTCATAAATGTTCCGTTAAATGGAAATTCTTTCTTTGACTCAGTTCTTAGAAGGCACACACTAGAAACTTATAACCGGATGTTAATAACTAGGTATATTGTGCAGCAGAAGATAATTATTTCAATTGTTTCCAATGGTGCCCATTTTCATCCTTCACAGTGCTCAGAAATTAGTCAGTTGCTGCCATGAGGCGGCTTCAGGTAAGATGTTCGAAGGCGAAACTGTTTTAAATATACGCTACTAAAAAGCAGCATACTGCACATAATAATAATGTTTAATTATATTCAGAACTTAAAACCATATAATAATTTGTCATATTTTATTACGAACTCCGTCACATGGATTAGAGCACCACACGTACTCTTGTCTTGCACGAAGGACGCCTTGCCTTCGTATTAGGTGAGAAGCGGGTTGTCATGCAAAAAGCTCCTCAAAGAGGAGAAATAAAATCACTTTCTTTCCGACAAACCCCTGAGTTTCCAATCCACACTTTTAAAATTGAACTTTCTCTTACGCATCCGTTACTGAACCGGCTTCTCAAGGTCTCCACTCCCGGGGGTACAGAGACCACAAAGAGTGAAAA